GTGTGTGTGTGTGTGTGTGTGTGTGTGTGTTCGCTCTTTCTGTCATCCACTTTCAATTTAAGGATCAGAAAAGCCAAAAAGCTGAAACTTTGGGAATATGTACCCAGCCCTGAGCGACCGCCCTTTTTAATATTATCATTCACGCATGGCTGGGTTATACATATGGGCGCCTCAAAAATACGCAAATTTTTTGGCAGGAAGGCGATATCGGAAACCAGACAAGACAGAAAGCTGAAATTCTGAGGGGATTTCCCTCGTCTAACTTAATGTTTTCAAACTCAGCCTCCAGGTATGCGTGGTATTCACTTACGAGCACATGAAAATTTTGGCAAGGGAAGGCTGGGTCGGGGCAGGAAAAGGGGAGGAAGGGGTGAGGGTTGGGGAGAAACGGTCGGGGTTGTGGAAAGAGGAGTGGTGAGAAAACTGGGTGGGGGATACGGGTTGAGAGCGACCCGGTCAGGGGGTGGAGAAAATAGGCATCCCCGGGTGTGGCGGAGGGGGGGGGGGACTGAAATTTTAAGGAGTTGTCCCCCATCCATGAATAGTATATTTCAAATTCAGCCCTTGGGTGTGCGTGACTCGCACTTGCGAGCACGTAAAATTTTTGGCGGGAAAATTGCCAGCTCGAGAACTAGAAAGTCTGGAAAGTCGAAATTCCAAAGGAATCTTTCCTACCCAAGTAAAACTTAATAAACTCACTCCCCAGACATGGATGATTCTCAAGTACGGGCACTCAGCTTTTGGCGGTAAAATTACTCACTAGACAATTAGTTCATTTCAAAAAACGATCGATAAACGGAAATTGTTCACTTTCTCTTATGCAAGATTTACAACGATTTATCCCACTGAGCTCACAAGGTAAGTGTAAAGCAAGAGCCATTCGTATAGTTAACGACCTGACTAGTGCAAAAACGCATGATCACATCGGCAAACCTGGTGCGCTCCAGCTTCGGGTTTTCACTACTTTTATGATTTTTTATCACACTACGAATGGTCATTCCCTGAGTTTGCACCCATAGCCTTCTTAATTCATTCCTGCATTGCTTTAAAAAGAAAATGCTGTAATTACTGCTGCAATATTTTGAGGTAATAATGCCCACTGATCTCAGCTATTTTTAGATCACTTAATTATACTTGCATTTTTGTCGGAAGTATTACATATGTCAAGTAATGCCTTATCGAATGAGAAGTGGAGTTTTTAAAACACAAAGCCTATTGTCATTGCTTCAGGCGTTTTGAATTGTTTCTAACTTCGAGTTCTTCCAAATAAATTAGAACACAATGTTTTAAGAGAAAATTG